GGGCCGGCCTCGTGCGGAGGCGCCCTGCACTCTTGAGTCGGGCCAGTCCCTCCACAGGGGGGATATCCAATAATAATTTGGAAAAAAAGGCAAGGGACTATTTTTTGAATCTTTTTTAACCATTTGGGGATGTTTTTTTTACTACTCCTAATTTTTCGCCCAAGATCGGCCTGTAGGGGGACAGGCCCGACTTAATTGAAATCCCAGAGATCCCAAAATAGTAGAAAATGATCAGGGGACTATTTCTTTGGCATTTGTTGACCATCTGGGGATATGTTTTGACAATTTGTCCTAACCATCCTGTGGTGTTGGGACCTCGTTTTGAAGAGACAGCGCCCCGCGTTCTCCTTCCTCCTTCCTTCTCCTCCTCCTCCCTCCTCCCCCTCCTTGCCGTTGCTCTCCGCATGTCTCTGTTCCGGCACACCCCTCACACGTTTCGCGGCCCCACAGGGAACCCCACCTAAGGTCCCAGTGGCGCAGTTCGCATGGCGCTGCCGCCCCATTCTGGCACGCCCTTCACACGCTTCGTGACCCCATAGGGAGCTCCACCTAAGGTCCCAGTGGCGCAGTTCGCATGGCACCGCCGCCCCATTTTGGCACACCCATCAGACGTTTCGTGACACCAGGGGGATCTCCACCTAAGGTCCCCGTGGCGCAGTTTGCATGGCGCAGCCGCCCCTTTTTGGCACACTCCTCGCCCCACAGGGAGCTTCACCTAAGGTCCCAGTGGCGCAGTTCGCATGGCGCCGCCGCCCCTTTTTGGCACACCCCTCACACGTTCCGTGGCCCCATAGGGAGCTCCACCTAAGGTCCCAGTGGCGCAGTTCGCATGGCGCCGCCGCCCCATTTTCCCACACCCATCAGACGTTTCTTGACCCCAGGGGGATCTCCACCTAAGGTCTCAGTGGCGCAGCTCGCATGGCGCCGCCGCGCCATTTGGGCACACCCCTCACACGCTTCGTGGCCCCATAGGGAGCTCCACCTAAGGTGCCAGCGGCGCAGCTCGCATGGTGCAACCGCCCCTTTTTGGCACACCCCTCACACGCTTCGTGGCCATAGCCAGCTCCGCCTGAGGTCCCAGTGGCCCAGCTCGCATGGCGCCGCCGCACCATCTTGGCACACCCCTCACCCGTTTCGTGGCTCTATAGGGAGCTCCACCGAAGGTGCCAGCGGCGAAGCTCGCATGGTGCAACCGCCACTTTTTGGCACACCCCTCACCCGCTTCGTGGCCATAGCCAGTTCCACCTAAGGTCCCAGTGGCGCAGCTCGCATGGCGCCGCCGCCCCATTCTGGCACACCCCTCACCCGCTTCGTGGCTCTATAGGGAGCTCCACCGAAGGTGCCAGCGGCGAAGCTGAGCTTCACCGAGTTTATCCGCGAGGTTTGACCTGAGGAGCAGTCCGACCGAGCCTCGCCGTCTCTCGACGGTCTGACCGTTTGGCCTCGCGCCGCGGGCGACCCGCGCGTCGCTGGGACCCTCTCGGGGCGACCAGCGCGCGTCGCGGGAACTCCATGCGGCGGTCTGCCCGGCGCCTCGCTCGCCCTTGTCGTCGCTCTGCCCGGCGGCCAGAGCTTTGCCCGCTATCAGCCATCCTGCTTGCTCTCTCTGCTCCGCGCAGCGGACGACCCGCGCGCGTCGCCGGGACCCCTTCGGGGCGACCGGCGCTCGTCGCAGAACTGGGCGGATCCTTGTGAAGGGCGTGTCGACATGGGCGTCGACATTTGTTCACGTAGACTGACGCGCGCCCAGACTCACTCACAACCAGATTCAGTCGCGCTCACGCTCACCCGCTCTCAGTCTCGCACACAGAACTATCGTCATCGCTCGCATTGGGTGCCCCGCCACGCATGTCGGCGCGCCCCTCACACGGTTCGTGGCCCCATTGGGAGCGCGGCCGAATATGAGATTCACAATTGCGGCACTCACAGCTGCATATGGCTGGGTCCTTCGTCGCCCAAAATCGGCCTGCAGGGGGACAGGCCGGACTTAATTGTAATCCCAGAGATCCAACGCATTGAGAAATCAAAACGGACGTTTTTAAATCTTTGGCCTCTCGGGGGGGGCCCTCGCCGGGCCCCAGGACCGTCAACAAAACGCGTCGGGATGAAAAACGGGTCCTGGGGAAGATTGTTGGCCCTTCCCGGGACCCTACCACCACCATTGAGCCAAGCTTCGGGAAGGACGCGTATAGGCAGAAGCGCGCGATTGGCGACTCTTCGGAAATTAAGAAAACGAGACGAGAAGACAGAGCGCTTCTGTCGGGCCGAACGAATGGGGGGGATTGGGAAAAGGGGGGTTACGAAATCTGCTGCATGCAGCTGGTTTCGGCCCCGCCTCGGGGCCCATTCCTCGATACATGGGCGCCTCCCGGCGCCGGGAGGCGCTGGGAAAATCAGCTACGTGAGCTGATTCTCAAACCCCCCTTCGCCCGGCCCGATTCTCGGGGCCCCGTATGGAGAAAAAAACACGACCAACTCGGCTCTCTGGGATAATGGCCCGAGCGCCGCTCGCCGCCCGCTGCCTTTCTTCCCCCCCTGCGAGAGAGCCAGCCGGCACCGACGCGCAGCCTGAGGACTCCTCCGCTCGCAAGGGAGCGTCCAGGAGGGAGGCAAGAGCACGCAGACACAGACCGCTGTCGATTCCCAGGAAAGTACGGGAACTGATGGGAAGTGGGGTGGGGAGGCGACAACGCAGAAAGGAAAAAAAAACGTAAGGAATCGTGGTATTCGTGTGCAGTTAGTTGTGTGTCCCGGGGCCCTTGTCATGGTCTGGACGGGGACGTGGCGCCGGAAACTGTCACTGGCCTGGTCTTGATCGGGGGAGCGTAAGACCCGGGTTTGCCAGGACTCGGGTTCGCCATCGTTTTTTGACGACCGCGCCTCGGATTTTGACGAGGAGGAGTTTCGTGGGATGTCTGCAGCGGGAGGCCTCGTCAAAATGCAGGCTCGGCCTCGTCATTTTTTTGACGACCTCGTCGGGGATTTTCGGGTCCCCCGTACCCGGGTCTTACGTCTCTCCGACTTGAGCTCCTGTGGCGCAAGTGTTGAGTCGGGCGTGTCCATCTATACAGAAGTCATATTCAAGAAGAGCTGGAAAATATGACGGGGACGAATGTTCCACAATTTTTCTAAACCATCCTGTGGTTTTGGGTCATCGTTTTGAAGAGACGGTGCCCCACGTCTCCTTCTCCTTCTCCCGCCTCCCATCCTCCCTCCTCCTCCTCCTCCTCCTCCTCCTCCCCTCCTCCTCCTTCTCCTCCTCCTCTGCATCCTCTCCTCCCCATCCTCCTCTCCTCCCCTCCTCCTTCTCCTACCCCTTTTCCCTCTTTCCTCCTCCTCCTCCTCCTCCTCCTCCTCCTCCTCCTCCTCCTCCTCCCTCCTCCCCGCGTTTCACCCGCCCAGAACAACGTTTCGTGGCCCCATAGGGAGGAGCTCCACCGAAGGCCCCAGTGGCAGGCTTCGCAAGGCGGCCTCGGGCCATTTCGGCACACCCCTCACGAGGATCGTGGCCCCATAGGGAGCTGCACCGAAGGCGCCAGTAGCAAAGTGCGCATGGCGGCCTTGGGCCATTTCGGCACACCCATCACGAGGATCGTGGCCCCACAGGGATTTCCACCGAAGGTCCCAGTGGCGGGGTTCGCATGGCGGCCTCCGGCCATTTAGGCACACCCCTCACGAGGATCGTGGCCCCATAGGGAGCTCCACCGAAGGCGCCAGCGGCAGGGTTCGCATGGCGACCTCGGGCCATTTCGGCACACCCCTCGCGAGGATCGTGGCCACACAGGGAGCTTCACCGAAGGCGCCAGTGGCAGGGTTCGCATGGCGGCCTCGGGCCATTGCGGCACACCCCTCACGAGGATCGTTGCCCCATAGGGAGCTCCACCGAATGCCTCCAGTGGCAGGGTTCGCACGGCGGCCTCGGGCCATTTCGGCACACCCCTCACGAGGATCGTGGCCCCATAGGGAGCTCCACCGAAGGCCCCAGCGGCAGGGTTCGCATGGCGGCTCTGGGCCATTGCGGCACACCCCTCACGAGGATCGTGGCCCCATTGTTGTGCTGCTTCAACAGCCGCGCCTGGGCGTCGTACTTCGCCTTGTCGACGTGCAACGCCACCTTCTCTTTCATGGTTCTCAACGCCCTCTCCTGCTTCTGCTCCTCGGTCAGAGGGACGCCGTCCTTGTCGTCGTCGGCGCCCGCGAAAACGGCCACGAACGTGTTCCTGAGCATGTCGGGCTCCAGCGGGACGCCGTGGCCACATAGGAAGCGCGGGCGAAGATAGTCAGAATTGTGGTATTCACAACTGCATATGGTTGGGTCGTTCGCCAGGTTAATTTCAATCACGCGCGCCAGGGGGTCGTCGCGGGCCCCGCCGAGTGGATCGTGTATCCCCCTGCACGGCAGCCATACAACGATTGCCTATCGTATAGAAGGTGACATAGGGAACGTATACATACATCCGACGCGAAGTTGTTCCCCCCTCTCAGGCTGACTACTGACGCGCCGTAGTCGTCGTCGTCATCATCATTGTCGTCATCTGCATCATCATCATAATCATCATCATTATCATCATCGTCGTCGCCGTTGTCTGTGGACCCAGTCGTCGACCGGCGCGCCCACTCAGCACCCCCCCGCTCATGGGGCTTCCGCAGTGCGTCGTCGTCGCCGTCGTCGTCGCGTTGTCATCGTCGTCGTGCCGTCGTTGTCGTCGTCATCGTCGTCGCCGCCACCGCACCCGCCGTCGTCGTCGTCGTCGTCGTCGTCGTCGTCGTCGTCGTCGTCGTCGTCGTGGTCGTCGTCGTCGTCGTCGTCGTCGTCGACGCCTACAGCGGGCCCGTGGGGCATCCGCAGCAGTGCGTCGTCGTCACCATCGTCGTCGCTGCGTCGGCGTCGGCGGCGTCGGCGTCGGCGTCGTGGTCGTTGTCGTCGTCTGCGTCCTCGTCCTCGTCCTCGTCCGCGTCCGCGTCGTCGTCGTCGTCGTCGTCGCCCACGTCGTGCGGAGGACGCTGGGAACGAGCGCCTCCTGCAGGTGCGGCTCTCCTCCGCGGCGGTGCGCAGCTTCGCCGAGCTGCGCAGCTCCACTTGCCGCTGGCAAGGTGCCGCGTCCCCCGCCTGTCGCCCGGCATTCGTGCCTGCGGGGTCGGTGCCGGAGCGTGGCGGGAGTTGAGCGCCGGGGTTCCAAGATGGGATGGGGTCCTGATCCGGAGCCTTGAGACGGGGGTCAATGCAAATGGGGGTCAGCCAGGGCACCGGATCCTGTGGGATCCTGCGAAGACCCCCTTTGGCTGACCCGGGTTAGCGAGCCGCTCGTTGCCGCGAGGCAGCCGCGCATATTGGCTGACCCGGGTTTGCGAAGACCTGCGTTGCAGTTTTTTTTCCTGCATTGCAGTTTTTGGTTTCCTGCTGACCCGGGTCTGGATTGACCCGGGTCAGAAGATGATCCCCGAAGCGCTGGGGGTCCAGGATGGGGTCCTGAGCTCACCGGGCGCGTTCGACGATTCGCAAAGTGGTTATTCGCAAACGTCCGAACAAGCAAAACATGGTTTTCTATGTAAGTTGTCGTAGATCCCCCGCGGCGGATCCGGGCCATTTGCGAGTAAGCACTTTGCGAGTAGTGGGGCGCGCTCGTCTATGAGCTGAGTTTTCTCCTTGAGCGGGGCGCTGAGGTGGAACATCGTCTCGGCGATTCTTTCTGTGCGTGCGAGTTGTTGGCTGAACAGCTGCGCTTGGTAGCGCGAGCTGTTTGTCCGCCACGGCTCCTGGTAAATAGTTTGGCGTCAGCTGTGTAAGCGTTTGGACCGCTCCTATCTTGGAAAAAGAAGTCCTGAAGGATGGGGGCCTAAGGACAGGAAGGGATCCAAGGGTGGATCTACTAATCAACGTGCCCTGTAAGGACGCGCGCTTTCATCTAGGGTGCCTTCGGCCCGTCTTTCGCCGTTCTCACTGGTCGCCAGCCGTCCAAAGAACGCCCAACCTCGGCCTCCACGAGTCCTGCGTCCTTACCACCCGTCTTCGGTACAACTTTTGACTGTACGTCGGCGGCGAGCCCGAGAAGTGAGAAGGGGCGGGACTTCTCAGAAGGCTCTCTAGTCCTCAGCCTTCTCAAAAAGTTTCCTAAGCCTTCCCTGGATGTACAAACAGCCTCCCCCATAAGGCTGGAGGCTTTCTGAGAAGCCCCGCCGCTTTTGAGAAGGCCTCCTCCTTCTCACTTCCCCCCCTCGCGCGCCGCCGAATGCGTTGTCTGAGACACCGCGTCCGTCGCCAGGCGATCGCAAACATGGATCAAGGGGGCTCGGATTAGCGACGGGTCCCGTTTCCATGGGACATCGAGGTTTCCGCCGTGGGAGGGCACCTCCCCCGATCCATGGATCTGGCGACCGCGCTCCGAATCCATGGATCGCTAATCCATGTTTGCGCGCCCCCGACGTAGGACCCCATTCCTCAGGACCCCATCTTTGAGCCACCAGCTGCGCGGGAAGGTCACCGATCGTCACGCACGAGCGGGTCATGAGGGACACGGGCCCTGAGGATTCTCTCCGTTTTCGGGCATCAAGGGTTAGTCTCAAGTCGGGAGAGCAGGGGAATAGGGTGGTAAACTTTTGGCTTTCTCTCGATTGCGATGGAGATAATGTGACGGTATGATTGTGATAACGGTGATGATTACGATGATGGTTGCGATGAGGATGACAACAACGACGACGATGATGACAATGATGCTGACGTGAATGGGGATGGTGATGATAGTGGAGGCCCCTCCACAACAAGAATCAATATGTGGACGCCCCTCCACACAAGGAATCAATGTGTAGAGCCCTCCCACATAAGGAATCAATATGTGGAGGCCTCTCCACTCTCCCCCCTTCCGTCCTCACTCCTCCTCCCTCCTCGGCATTGCATTGCATTGCACTGCAAACGCATGGCATTACATTGCGTTGCAATCGCATCGCATTCTTAATGCGTTCCTATTGGGGCCGGAGGAGGGGCCTCCGCCCGTTTCCTTCTCCCTCCCCTCGCCCCCTCCCCTCCTCCTCCGCCTCCGCCTCCCCCTCAGGAATCGTGGGGGGCAGGGGTAGGGTGCGCATGTGGCGCCCTACTTACATGGCCCCAGGGGCCGAGACCAGAGAGAGAAGCCTAGCGTCGTGGTCTTGTTCGCAGCGCGAGGGGGGCCTTGGACGCCCCCACCCCCTCTCGGGCGCTCCCCGGGGCGCGGGGAGGTACCGCGTCGGCCGTGGCGGCCGTGGCGCTGGGCGAGGGCGGCGGGCCGCAGCTGGTGGCGCCGTACCGGGAGGCGTACGGCGACGCGAGCCGCCTGGTCGCCAAGGCGCCCCCGCGGGCGGCGCCGCGCCCGCGGAGGGGGAGGCCCAGCCAGAGACCCAGGGCCTTGGATCTGGACGCCCGAAATGGGTACGGAAAAAATGGGTACAAACCCCAACAGCAGTTCCTGTTCGTTTTGAACAGGATTCGCTGTCCGCGCCGCCGCGGCCTGTGTCCATTCGAGACAGAAGGCCGCCCGCCCAACAGCGGCCGCTGTTGGTTTGGGACAACATTTGTTGTTGGGCATTGTGCCCATTCTTTCCGTGCCCGCGGAGACCCAGGGCCCTGGGGAAGAAACACGTTTTTTTTGATCCGCGGGTCGAGAGCGCACCTCTTCCGGTCGAAGCTAAGCGGGCCACGCGAAGCTTGACTTAGGCGGAGGGAGGGGAGGAAAGGGGGAGGGCGCAGCCTCAGAGCGAGGCCGGGAGGAGGCAAAGCCTCGGGATCAGGCGGTGCCGAAGTCGACGTGCTTGCAAAGGCGCGCCTCTTCCAGGAGCCCGGGCCTTGGGGAAAAACACGAGGCGGAGGTTTCTCGCCGTTCTCGGCCTCGAGGGGGCCTCGCCGGGCCCCGGGGCCGTCGAAGAAATGACTCGGGACGAAAAATCTGGACGGCCGAAATGGGTACCGCAAGAATAGGTACCATGCCCAGCAGCAGTTCCTGTTCATTCTGAACAGGATTCGCTGTCCACGCCGCCGCGGCCTGTGTCCATTCGAGACAGAAGGCCGCCTGCCCAACAGCGGCCGCTGTTGGCTTGGGACAACATTTGTTGTTGGGCATAGTGCCCAATTTTCGGTACCCATTTCGGGCGTCCAAAAAAAAGCTGGTCTGGGGGAGCGGGTCTGGACTTGAGGGGGCGCCGTCCTGAACATAATCAGGGCGTCGCATGTCTGGGCTCGGGTCATGAGGAAGTCACGACGGGCAGTTTTTCGCAATCTTCAGCCTCTAGGAGCTCTTAACCGGGCCTCGGGGCCGTCAAAAAAACGGCACGGGATGAGAAACCAGTCCCAGGGAATGGGTCCAGGCCTCTGGAGGTCGACGTCTAGGCCTCCTAGATGGGGTCCGAGAAGACGGGGTCGGAGAATCTAGCCGCATCCCCGATGCATCGGCGATGCGGCTCGATGCGGAGCCCGTGATTCCCCACGCCGACGTCCGCGATGTATCGCCGACGTCCCCGATGCATCGCCGATGCATCGGCGATGCATTGGCGATGCACGCGATCCTTCGACCACATCTGCTCGAACCCCATCGAGGAGGCCTTTCTAGAAAAGGTACACATACCGCTAGAAAAGGTACACATACCGCTCCCCTTACCTCGCCTTGTTGGGCCTCCTGGGAAGCCCTCGTCGCCACCGCTGGGTTCGCCTCGAGGTCCTGGTCAGAACGCGCCCCGGGAGAGGCCTGGGGAGTAGCGGTATCAGTGCCTGTAAGTTTCCCCAGAGGCCTGCGGACTGCGCACGGGCGGACTGGACTGTTTCCTGCGAGTCCGGTTCCGGTGCCCTCGGCTGACTGAAAACCTCAGTTTGGTTTGCCACTGGCGGGTGGCCTCGGTGACTTCTGGCATTTCCCCTGACACGGAGGCGATGGCTGAATGGTCTCTCCGCCCCGGATCCTCGGTCACCCCTGGCACCTGCGCGTCGTGGGTCAAGGGCATGAAAAACGCCCCTACCCTGGTTTGCGGGGCGCTGTGCGCTGGAACTCCTGTGGGCTGACAGGGCAAACCCTGAGTGCTGTGCGGCGTGCTGTGCGGCGTCCTGGCGGCTCTCTAGGCTCTGGGGGTTCCCGGGAGGTTTACAGACCACGCATTTGTCACCCAGGGTAGGGTCGTTTGTTCATCCCCTTATGTATGTGACTTCTTGTTCCCCTAGAATAAAGAAAACGCTCACCCAACTGCATGGCCGCGGCGTGCTCTCGACGCCTCTCTGCCCAGGGTAGGGTCGTTTTTGTCATCCCTCAAGTGAGGCAGCAAGTCACGACGGACAGGTTCTGGCAGGCGTGGCCACCCGTGGCGACAAGGAGCGGTGACTGCGGCGCGCGCCGCTCGAGGCGGCCCGTGGGCCGACTGCTTACGGTTCTAGCGCTCGCTGCGTTGAGGCTTCCCCTCACCACGCGCTGCTGTCTAGGCTTCAAGTCGGGCGTGCCCCTCTACAGGAGGACTATCCCCCCCAAACAAAAATGTCAAGCAATAGTCCGAGGACTATTTTTTTGGTACCTCAGGGCGTTGTTCGAGTATCTTTAAAAAAAAATCCGCCTGTAGGGGGACCTGCCCGACTGAAGCCTAGCCGCTTGCTTGCTTGGCGGGCCCCGCGGGCCCAGCCTGTCCTCGGTGACCCCCGACGCCCGCGCGCCGTGGAGCGGCAGAGCCGCGACGGACAGCTTCGGGCGACCTCTGGCCACCCGGGAGCCCGTTGCTGGCCTTCCTCTGGTCGGGGGTGGACAGAGCCCCCCAGCAGTGACGCGTCGCTCCTCCTCCTCCTCCTCCTCCTCCTCCTCCACCTCCTCCACCTTCCACCTTTACCCTCCTCCTCTTCCTCCTCCTCCCCCTCCTCCTCCTCCTCCTCCCCCTCCCTCCTCCTCCTCCTCCTCCTCCTCCTCCTCCTCCTCCTCCTTCTCCTCCTCCTCCTCCTCCTCCTCCCGGGGAGGGGTTTCCCTTTGACTCGATGGCGACCTGGAACGGTTCCTCTCGGGCTGGCGCGTTTGGTTGAGGAGCCCCCGGTTCGGGGGTGGACAGAGCCCCCCAACAGTGACACGTCGATCAGCGCACTGTCCGTTTGCGGTTCTCGAGAGAGGGCGCCGCGGCTGTTCTGTTCCAGGCCTGCGCCCGCCGGGCTTGTGCCTCGGGCCGTTTCCACGAAACCACGCTTTGCTAGAGGGGGGTCTGTCCATCCCCGATGTCTGGGCCAGCGGCCAACGACCCGGAATGGAGACGCCGGTCCCCGGGACGAGGTCCAGAGACGCGGGGAGGCACTTGGTGGTCTCCAAACCAGGTGGTGAGACACCCGGTGGTGACCCCGATTCCCCAAAGAAATAATTCTGGGTCACCACCGGGTTTGGGGACACGCGGTCGCCACGAGGTTTTGCGTTTCTTGGGCCAGCCAGCGCTCAAAAACAATTACCCAAATCGCCCAAAACTCACCAGCGGGTGTTCTCACCACCACGTTTGGGGACCACCAAGGCACGCTTCGGCGACTACAAGGGGTGCGGTTACGCCAGGGTGCGGTTCGCGAGCTGCTTTGCGGCGGCCTTTCCGGGGCCTTTGTGAGAGACAATGTCATACATATCCTCGTGTCGAGCGACGCTGTCATCCTCGATGTGTGCTCCATTGGTCTAGAAGGAGCGACAGCGTCATGTGATTCGGTCGCGTTGAGTGACAGTGCCATCCGTTTCCCGGGGGCGGGAGGGGCAGATCTGCCGGGAGGCAGACCTTTCCCTTCGCAAGCCGTACCCGCTGTAGTCGCCGAGAGGTCCAGAGACGCGGGGAGGCACGGCGTGAACACATCACGACGTCGGGTGCCTGGGATCCCCTCTCTGACAGGCGTCGCCCCCGTGTCCTGTGCGGGGGAGCTCGCCCCGTTCCCTCACAGGCTCCTCGGCTCTGGCCCTGCCGTGGGCCAAGGAACCTCTGGGGTTGAAGTGGCAACAACAAATTACCAGCCTCGAACTCATCCCTATCCCTAAGATTGACACGCCAAAAGGCGATGACAATCTTGGGGATTCGCCATCAAAAAAGAAGGGAATCCCTAAGATTGGCATCGTGATGAGGAGGTGCCCAGCAAAGGGACAGGGATATGTTCCAGGCTGGTAAAACAACAACAAAAACATCGCCTCTTCTGGCCTCCCCTTGATGCTCGGCGTCGCCGTGGCCGGAGCCGCCCCGAGGAACGAACGGGCCAGGGCGAGTCCCAGGAGGGGTGCGGCGGGGGCCGCATCCGGGCGGGAGAGCCGCCGCTGTCTCGCCTGGCCCCCTCCTCGGATGTCTCCCCCTCCGCTTCTCGATGGTCCTCTGGCGTGGCATCGCTCGGACGTGTGCGTTTTTTTCTTGGCGAGGGCCATCGAGGAGCAGTTTTTGTCACGTTGCGAAGAGAGATACGCACGAAGCCGCCGACAAAAAAAGGCACATTGGATGGGCGTTCGAGCGACGGCGAGCTGGACGTGTCTCAGTCCAGAGTGCGTTTGCCCGGTTATAAGCTCCACCGACCGCAGCGCGCAGCCTGTGCCCGCCCCTTTATGACGTCGCTGGCGTCGCAGTGGAAGGGCTTCGGTGGACACGCACACAGTGTAGCTAACTCATCACAGGTTCGGAGGGGAGTTGTGAGGGAAGAAAAGAGTTCGGAGATTCGCCCGCAAAGGGTGTTTTCATGACTTCCTGGGCACCGAGGCATGGAAGTCTCCGCAGGATCGGGAGTTCCGACCTTCGGGCTCGAGGCTCGATGTCTCACAAGCCCCACGGATGCTTCGTTTCATGCGCCCTGGGTTGGCGGAGAGACGACAAGCAGGAGAAGCCCACATCTCATTGCTGCCCGCCCTGGTTTCGACCCAGGCTGTCCGGTGGGCCAGGAGATCTGAGGCGGGACCCGTGGCGGCCTTGTCGCATCCGCACCCTAGACCGCAACATCCATGTTGCGATCTAAGCGTCGTCTCAGGCATGGGCGGCTTGATGGAAACCACTCCGAGGCGGCCTTTCTTCATCGCATTCGGCAGCAAATCATGGGAGCTCGATGTACCCTCTGAATTCTGTCTTTAGCGTCGACTTGCGTCGAGTAGTATCTGGGAGTCGATGGGATAGCGCCGATTTAGCGTCGGTTAGCATCGATTAGCGTCGACTTAGCGTCGAATAGCCTCGACTAGCGTCGATTAGCGTCGATTCGCCAGAGCCGATAATACGATGGTATCGAAGGCTTCCATGAGCTGCCACCAAAGTCGTCTGGCCCAGTGGACAATGGCAATGTTGCGAGAGGGGGACTGAGATGGGGAGACTGGGAGAGGGGGAGAGGGGAAGAGGGGGGAGAGAGCTCAGAGAAGGGCGAGAGGGGGAGAGGGCATCCCTGTGGAAGTCCGGATTCCCAGGCCACGACGAGGGGTGCCTGCGATGGTGCTCTGGGCTCTGATCACAGGTGGCAGGGCTGGCGCCCTGGCCCCGCTGTGCGGGCGGCATCGAGGGCAGATGGAGACATGCCGTTCGGTGGCAAATCGTGGTAGCCTTCTATGTCCTCTTAATTCCGTCGACTAGCGTCGATTAGCGTCTGGGAGTCGATGGGATAGCGCCGATCCAGCGTCGGTTAGCATCGATTAGCGTCGACTTAGCGTCGACCAGCGTCGATTCGCAAGAGCCGACAAGATGGCATGGGAGGCTCCCATGAGTTGCCACCGAAGTTTGTGGTGGTCCTGCTGTTGCCTGGTGGTGGTACAGTCGAGACTGATTAGTAGGTCGACCCTGCCAAAGCAAGGGTACCCTTTGACCTGAGCTTGGCGACCCATGCCTTCTTCAATTCCTGTGGCAATGTGGGCCTCGGAAGGGTCTTGTGTCCTCTCGCGTGTCCTCTCCAGTCAACCCCGACTGTACAGTGCCGTTTTTAATACATGCTCCGCGTGCGGATCATGTATTTAACATGCAGGGATTTAGGATGAAAAACAACGATGAGTTCATGCATAACTGTATTCATAAGTTAATCATGTATTAGAAATCATATATTTTTAAAATCCTTTGAATTAAAACAAACTGCAGTGTATTTTCTGCTGTGGTTCTGCTGGCGCCAGCTTGTGCCAGTGATGCGGGGCGCTGCCTGGTGCAGGTGCTGATGCTGGCCCCAGCGCTGCCTGTGTCGTGGGGCTGGCGGCCGCGGCCGTGACGCATGTTTTTTTTTTTTTGATTCCGAGCCTCGGCATCGCTCGGACGTGTGCATTTTTCCTTCGGCGAGGACCATCGAGGAGCATTCTTGATCATTTGGCGAAAAAAACCACGCACGAAACCGAAAAAAACACAGGGAATGGACGTCCGAGCGATGGCCAGGAGCGGGCTGCACCGAATCGCCCGCGCTGTTCACGGCGACTTGCGCACGGCAACCAGAATGCCCTGGCATAAGTATGTGGTTCGACTTTCTGTCCCCGATCTCGCCCCCGCCGTTCTGGGTCGGCAGGCGGTCTTAATTGCTTTGCCGATCGGCGCGGGCCCTCGCACGCCCCCCCACCCTGGAGTGGATCTTGTTGTTTTTGGCGCCTGTTTCAAGCAGGTGGAGCCTCTCCCCCCAAAGGACGCACTGCTGCCAACGCTCGCAATAAGCAGGGGTCAGGAGCCAGACCCCCCCCCCTCCCCCCCGTTCCGCCCACTGTCGAAACGCCGAATATATGGGAACAAAAAGTGGCATAAACATTTAAAACTCGGAGGTCCGCGCGGATTTCTCGGAGGTCTCCGGAGGTCTCTCATCGGCCCCCGGCGGCGCCACCAGCGCCGCCCCTGGCGCGCTCCGCGCCCCATGGAAGGGGTGCCCAGCGCCGATCCGAGAAGTCCGCGCGGACCTCCGAGTTTTTATGTTTATGTAACTTTTTGTTCCCCTGGAATAAGAAACGCTCACCCAAGCTTTCGCGCAAGCCGCTTGGACCGTCTCGGACCTCTCTTGGGGCTCTGGGGGGACCTCTGGGCGCCTGCAGTGGTGGAGGGCCTCCTCCCCAGAGCTGGGGGGAGAGGGACTGTGGTGGTGGTGGTGGTGGTGAGTTTTTCTCCTCGCCATCAAGTGGCCTTCGTTCCAACTTTGAGATTCCCTCAGCCTCGTCGAGTGAGTTTTTTGTTTATTCTGACTGCATGGCCGCGGCGAGCTTTCGATGCCTCTCTGCCCAGGGCGGTCTCTCGGCCCCGCGTCGGCTCGGACTCCGACCTCCCCTGGCGGCCCGCGTGCGCCCCCGTCACTGGCCCTCCCGACGTTGCTCGGACTTCCGGTTGCGTCGGGCCGAGTATTCAAAAATAGTCAACAAATAGCCTGGGGACGATTTCTGTGACTTCTAAAAGACTTAAACATTAATCACATATTTCTGTATATATATATATATATATATATATATATATATATCATTTTTCGCTCAAAATCCGCACTGGCCCTCCATGCCGCCCTCCCGACGCTGATCGGACCTTCGGCCGCCCGGACAGGCCCGGGCGCCCGCCAACGCCGCCGTGCGGGTGACCGACCTGGGGGTCGGGCCGGCCCCGCTCGTCACCTTCGCCGAGAGCGGGCTCCCTGGGGGCGGCACGGAACTGTTCGGGGAACGAGGAAGGACATGAACATGCAAACTCGGAGGTTCGCGCGGATTGCTTGGATCCGCGCTAGACCCCCCTCCCTGGTGCGCGGAGCGCGCCAGGGGCGGCGCTGGAGGCGCCGCCAGGGGGCCCCAGCACCGATCCGAGAATCCGCGCGGTCCTCCCAGTCATCATGTTCATGTCATTGCTTGTTTCCCTACATATAGCAGGCAGGAGCCAGGGAGAAGAGCGTCACCAGAGACACGCACAGGTTGAGTGCGCGTCCCAGTGCCTCTGTGCTTGTGCCGCCGGCGAGAGAACTCCCGAGGGGCGCTGGGGCACCGGATTTGCTCGCCTACTACGAAGGTAAGGATGCGCGCACAGTTTTGAGGGGGACGAGGAGGAGGAGGAGGAGGAGGAGGAGGAGGAGGAGGAAGAGGAGGAGGAAGAGGAGGAGGAAGGGAGGAGAGGAGGAGGAGGAAGAGGAGGAGGGAGGAGGAGGGGGGGGGGAGGAGAGGGAGGAGGAGGTGGAAGAGGAGGAGGAGGTGGAGGTGGAGGAGGAGGAGGAGGAGGAGCAAGGCTCATGGGGCTTGTCAGCGCGCGACATTGTTGCGTCGGTGTTGCTGTTGTGCTTGCTTCTGCCGTCGTTCTTATCATTGCTGCTGCTGCTCCTTTTCGCGATTCTACTTTCCTGCTGATGTGTTTCTCATCGTCTCCCACCTCCTTCCTCTCGCACGTTATCCCTGAATGCCCACAGCCCCAGCAGGCGTGCGCCCTCCCCCCCGCACGTGTCGGCCCCTCTGGAGAAGACGGCGCCCAGCCGTGTGAACCACGCCGCACTCTTCCCCGCGAGGCTCTCCGTCCTCTTGGAACGGCTCCCCCTCAGCCACGCGCAGAGGGGGGCAGGGGGGGGGGAAGGTTTCTGAGAAGCATCCCTGCTTCTCAGAGGGCGCGGGCCTTCTCAGTAGAGGTAAGGCCCGCGCCTTCTCAGGAGCAGTCTCCTTCTAAGAAGCCTTCCCCCCTCCCCCTCCCCCCCCCGTGTGCGCGCCGCCACGCCCCTGCTAGCCATCCGCGGACGTCCTGGGGGGGGAGGCCGGAGGAGCAGGGCTGGCCGCGTGGCCGCGGCGAGGTGTCCCAGCGGTCCCAGGAGGGCAGGGGGCCGCGGCACGACGGCGGGCAATCGGCCAGAGTAGTTATTTTGGAAGTTCCATTTTCGCGGGAGGACGAAGAAACACACGACCCCTTATTATGATGGGCGCTTCCTGAATAGTCCTGTGGGCGCCTACTGATTATGGTGCCTCGAGTGGTGCCCGCCGAAACCGTCGGCGTCTGTTCCCCAGTCTGGTACTGCCTGTTTTTGTGGCCAGCCTGAGCTCGGCGCGCATGTCGCGTTGGACATGACGCCTTGATTCGGTCGCTGCTGTATTCTGCTCTGTCACGTTATGTTCGGTTATGTATCGTCCTATTCACATCTAATTTGTCATGTTCTGTTTTCGACGGGGCGGCGTGACGTCGCGACGCCCGTCACGTTTCATGTGGCGTCGAATCGGTCGTCGTTGTGCATGTCTGCTCCTGTGGCCGTCCTTACGTCGGCTCGCGTGCTGCGTTTGACAGGGCGCCGTGAGGCGGTCCTTGTTGCATTCTGCAGTATTCCCTGAACAGATCGGCAGTCGTCTCCAGCGATGTCATACATATATATATATATATGTGTAAAAGATAATGTGGTCTATCGTGTTCTTACCTCTCATGTTCTGTTCTGCGCTGGGCGGGCCGTTGTGACGTCGTGACACCTGTCACGTTTGAGACGTCGTCCACTCTCGCCGAGCGCGTTCCACTACTCGCAAAGTGCCTACTCGCAAACGCTCGAAATACACATGCTTGCTTCGATGTAGTGGATCGTACACCCCCCGCGGCGGATCCAGGCCATTTGCGAGTAGTTACTTTGCGAGTAGTGGAACTCGCCAGTCTACGCTCGGTCGTTTTGTGCCTTTATGTTCCCTCGGCTAGCCTGACCTCGGCGCGCACGTCGCGTTTGATAGGTCGCTGTGATTCGGTCGCTGATGTATGTTCGGTGTATTCAGTCATGCTCGAGCCTGGTCTACTTGAGTGTTTCATATCACGGTATAGTATGACATATGATCCGCTTGTGGTGTTTTAAGTGGTGCGGTGTTGTGTTTCGTTCACTTCTTTTCATACGCAGTACTGCTCAATATTATACTGTGCTATGTTACAGTATATAGTACATGTCGTGTCATGTTCGGTTGTGTTTTCTGTTGCTGGGATCAAGAATCACATTTTGTGCTATTCGGGTATTTCGCTCATACTGGTACTCTGACTGGCTGTTCTCTCAATAATGTATTGCACTCTCGTTCAAATTTCGCTGTCCAGTGAATCCCTGTATAGCAGTCTTATTTGCAAGCTCATGCTATTGCAATACGCCGCATGGTCGTTTTGGTATATGATATTTGTTTAGCTGTGCGTGATTATCTCATGTCCTTCGGCACACGCCGTCGCAGTGCTTGGGTTGTGGGCCATGAACATGAAATGTTCGGTGGGATGTCGCTGGAGGCCTCTCGGGGGCCTCGTGGAGGCAGTTTTGAAGCTTCCTGGTGGCCAGCTTGGGGCTTCGTGGGGTGCCTTGGGGGCCTCCTGGTGGCCTCTTGGGGCCTCGTGGCGGCCTCTTGGGGCCTCCTGGGGGCATCTTGGGACGGAACGCGTGATTTTTCGGTTCGGGCTCCCATTGTTGGACCCTCTTGGGGTCGTTCTGGGGCTCTCTTGGTCCGTCTTCGGCGCCTCTTGGGCCGTCTTGAGGGCCCTCTTGGGCCGTCTTGGGGACCTCTCTTGCCGCGTCTTTGGTTTTGTTGGGCCATTATTGTGGGCCTCTTGGGCCTGCTTGGACGCTGCGAAGACCAACACGGCGAACATGCTGAACAGATTCGCCTTCCCAAACATGGAATGGGGCGATTGTTGCCGCGTGGGGCTCTCTTGGAAGCTCCCCTGGGAGCTCGCCTGGGGCGGTTCGGGCGCTTCTTGCGCCGTCTTGAGGCCGCCAGGTGTCCTGGGAAGCTCTTGGCCCGCCGCCGAAGTCTGAGGGACCCTCCCGGGAGCTTCTTGCGGCCTTCCTCGAGCGTTTTTGGGGGGCCCCGCTGGGCGGGGCCACGGCCCCCCCAGAGGCCCGCGCGGCACGCCCCGGTACAGCCCAGCGGCGCCCAGGAGCGCAGGAGAGACGCGCGCTGCGCTGGGGGCAGCGTTTCCGAATTCGCGGCGCTGGCGGCGCGGCGTATCGCGCAGCTCCCCAAGGTGCCCGGCTGAGTCGGGCGCCTCTTCGGGGCGCTTGCGGTGGCGCTCGTCGCCCGACCCCGCTCGTCAAAAAGCGCATGAGACACCGTGGCTCGTGGCCCGCAAGAGTCCGTTGCAGGCCCTTGGCCTCTCAGGCCTGCGTGAGCGTGTGTCGGATTTTTGCTCGACGCTGTAAATTGTTAGTTGTTTCGAGTTTTGTACGCTGTAGTGCACCATACGGATTGTAGTGTGGTGTAGTGTGTCAGTATATGTTACTTAAGCCACCAATACAATCACACGATAAACCCGTACCCTACGTTGCGCATGTTGCCAGAGTGGTAGCAGTGGTAGAAGCGTTCTGTTATGTGCTGTCATAGTATGCTGACTATACAGTGTGTTGCCGCGCTTCATCACAGGCGTATGGTGTGTTAGTGTATGTTGTGGCTGGTTACGCGATGCTGCGTTATATCAGAGTGTACGGCATGTTATGTCCTGGTGCGTCATGATTATATATTGCATGACGGGTTCTGCAGTGATGTACCCCTTCATTATGTGATGTTCGGTTTACGTAGACCATGGAATGGTAGCCAACGGTTGTAGTGTATCCAGCGCCGTATTGTAAGCAGTCGAAGAACCATTGTGTCCTTGTGCCGCCATATTATACCATGCTTGGTTATGCTCTGGCATCGTATGCGTTTTTTCTATACGGCAGAACATGTTGTGTGATACTGTGATTGGTCATGCTATGCTGTGCCGTGCTCTGTTGTGCTATGCAACGATTTCTTGCAATATGCTGTGTTATGCTTTGGCCAGTTAATTTTATTCAGATCTTCTACAGTAGTTTGTGTCATGCTCTGTTCGGTCATTATCGGTTTAGTATGATAGATGTGCCCGTTTTGTTCTGTGCTCTTGATGCCGATTCTTCATGCCTCTTTGCTCATGCGTTGTAACGCCGCAGCGCCGTGACGCTTCCCCTCGGGCCTGTCTGGCACGCAGGGCATCATCGTGGGACACCCAGGGACTCCAAGGATCTTGTGGGGTTTGGCGACCGCGGCATGGTGTCGTCATTCGTCGAGGACGCGGGACGGGACATTCACGGAGTCCCAGAGTCGTGTAGGATCTGGCGGCCGCCGTCTGCTCGGTAGGCCCGGAAGGCAGACGAGAGCTTTGTTAAACAATGTTCAAGCCCCTTTTTCTGTTCGGTGGGGAAACTCATCCCGGTCCGATTCGTGCCTTGACTCCATTCCCAGACATCCGAAGTCTCGATTTTTTCGAGACGCGGGCACCCGACCTCCCGACCACTTGCCTGGGACCAGTTTCTCATCCCGAGCCGTTTTTTGACGGCCCCGAGGCACGGCGAGGGCCCCGAGAGGCCCAAAGCTAGGAAAAAAACCTCTGTCTCGTTTTTTTCGAGACGCCCGATGTCTGGGTTTACTGAGGGCCTTCGCTCGTCGCGAACTGAAGGCAGACGAGAGCTTTGTTAAACAGTGTAGAAGCAATTTTTCTGCCTGGTGGGGAAACTCATCCCTGTCCGATTCGTGCCTTGACTCCATTTACTGAGGGCCTTCGCTCGTCGGGATGCTCATTGGCCGCGTCCGCTGCTCCCTCCACGCGGCCCTCCAGGGAGCCGGGGTGTCCGTGCCCGAGGGCCGAGCGGCGGCGACGCCGTGGCGGGCTGTTTCTTTTGGGGGGGTCTGTGCGTGGCGCTCCCTGTGCGGAGGTGGCCTGGTGCCCGCGCCAAAGTGTTCGATGCTCGTTTTGGGGACCTTCCTGGGGGCCACCTAATGGATCTGTTCGACTCAGGTTCGACTCAAGTTCGACTCAGGTTCGACTCAGGTTCGATTCAGATTCGACTCAGGTTCGACTCATGTTCGACTCAGGTTCGACTCAGGTTCGACGCAGCTTCGACGCACGAGTGGAGCGAGTGGCTCCAGGAAGGTCCCCAGAACGAGCATCTAAAAAGTGTAGGAGTTTGTGCGGTGGTGGTGCATCCCGTCTTTTTTCCCGGCTTTTCTCCTCGCCTCGCCTCACCCAGCCTTCCAGTAGTCTCTCAGACGTGCCTCGTGTCCAGTCCCATCGGCAATCGCGCCCGATCCTTCCAACCACATCATACGTGTTGTTCGCTGCTTTCGATCATTGCTTGCTCGCTCCGTGCTCTGATCGCTGAGGTTCCGTGGCGCCATCGTTCTGGACCCCGTCATCGAGGGGGTGCTTTCTTCCCCTCAGGGGATGGGGATGTGCCGCCGTTTTCAACATTGCATAAGATGTGTAAGTTGATAAAGCCGACTAATATCATGATGCATCCTGCCAATCGGATAGGACAATTATTCGGGTGATAAGGAGGTTGAAGGAGTGGACAGGAGCAGCTTTCGGTTGGCGATCTGCCTCGGATCGCACCCGCGATACAGACAGTCGATGTTTCAACTATACAATGGCCTCGACACACGTACACATATACATAAAAACATGCATGCATGCATGTACACATACATACATATTTACACAACAGTTACATACATACATACATACACTCATACATACATACATACACACATACAGACATACATACATACACACATCCGTCCATCCATCAACCAATGCATATATACCTACATACACACCCAGCCACAGGTCTGTATGTATGTGTGTATGCACGTATGTATGCAGGTGTATGCATGTTTGTATGGATTTACGTGTGTGTATGGATGTGTGTATGCATGTATGCATGCATGCGTATGTGTGCATGTACGTATGGATGTATGCATGTATGAGTGCATGTGTGTGCAGACACGCATGCTTGTCTGCATGCAATGCATGCATGTATGCATGCATGCAATCATGTATGTATGTATGTGTGCATGTATCTATATACGAGTGTATGTGTATATGTATGCATGTGTGCATGTATGCATGTATGCGTGTATGTGTGTATGTACGTATGTACGTATGTACGTATGTAGGTACGTACGTATGTCCGTATGTACGCATGTACGTATGTACGTATGTATATATGTATGCATGTATGTATGTATGTATGTATGTATGTATGTATGTATGTGTATGTATGCATGCATGTATGTATGTATGTATGTATGTATGTATGTAAATGCATGTGTGTATGTATGTATGTATGCATGCATGCATGCATGCATGCATGTATGTATGTATGGATGGATGGATGGATGCATGTTTGTATGTATGTATTTATGGATGTGTGTATGTATGTATGTACGTACGTATGTATGTATGTATGTATGTATGTATGTATGTATGTATGTAGCTATGCATGCATGTCTGTATGTATGTGTGCATGCATGTGTGTATGTATGCGTGTATGTAAACATGTATATGTGTGTGTATGTATGTATGCATGCATGCATGTATGCATGTATGTATGTATGGGTGAATGTATGCATGAATGTGTGTTTATGTATGTGTATGTATGTATGCATGCATACATGTATGTATGCATGCATGTATGCATGTATGTATGCATATATGCAGGTCTGTGTTAAGACACGCACACACAATATATATATATATATATATATAACAGATAGGCAGATGTGTATGTGTATATCTATGCATATATATATATATATATATATATATGTGTTCTTGGTGTCTATATAAACACATCCCTGGCGACGGAGTCCTGGGCTCTGGCCCAGGGACCTCGACTTCGCATAGGGGGCCCGGGGCCGCTGGGGACGCCCCCAGACGGCTCCCGACCGCCCCAACAACGGGACACGAGGCTTCGAAGGTGCCCCAGAAGGCTTCCAAAGAGCCGAGCGTCGCCGAACTTCCGCTCCAAGACGCCCACGATGGCTTCCAGACGACCCAAAACGCCCTCAAGACGCCTCAAGAGGCCTCTGGAGAGGGTCCCACGGGGCAACCAACATTACTCTTCTTATGGTCCTGGAAGAGGTTGGAGGTTCTCGCCTGTTCGGCCTCCCGACGCTGCAAGACGGCCCAGGAGGTCCCAACGATGGCCTCCAAGACGGCCCCAGAGCGCCTCCAGAACGCCTCCAGAGGGTCCTCCGAGGGAGAACACGAATCGATATTGCGCGCGGTCCGCTCCCAGAGGTCCCCAGGAGGCCCCGAGAGGCTCCCAAGAGGCGCCAAGGTGACCCCAAGAGGCCCCAGGAAGCCCCAGGCCCCGAGCCCTAGGCCCCCAGCAGGCCCCCAAGAGCGCCGGGATGTGGAGGTGAATGTTGTGGAAGACAGGGTTGGGTGAGACGTCGCACTCCAAGAGGGGGAGGTGGGAAAAGGAATTGGAGGAGGAGCAGGAGGAGGGGGAAGAGGAGGAGCAGGAGGACTAGTGTAAACCCAAGACTCACCAACGATGTTGCAATACACCCTCCCTCCAAGCTCCCTCTTCACGGGCCCCCACAAGGATTCATCTCTATCGAGGGAAGTGCCCCGCCGCGAGATACCCGTCTCAAAGTCTTCAACAATGCCAGAGCACCATTCTTGGGATTTCATTGTCACGATTCAACCTTACGGTTGCCTCCTGACGATCCAGAATCGTACCAGAACGTCATTGTTGGGCCCTCAAGACGGCGAATAAACGTAATTGTTGCGCCTTGGCAATCTTACACCGCTCCAAAACACCAGTTCTGGTTCGGTAACTTTGAGAATCAGCGAAACACGTTCAGTTCTAGCATACAAGTGTGTGCGGCGCTAGGGCGAGAGCCAAAATTTGAACAGGAACCGTCCGTGAAGCTCTTGCACATTCCTATGACGATCATGCGCGGCGCTGAGGCGGGAACCACATTTTTAGGACCTGGCCACGATCCGTGAGGCTCTTGCAGGGGTGAAACACAAGATGCGCGGCGCTAGGGCGAGAGCCACAGTCCGGAAGCGGCCCGCCCTCCATATGTGAAGCTGTTGCTGATAATGATAAGGAAGTCTCATGCGAAAGACCTGGCCTGTCGTTCCGGCCGGCCTCGGGGTGCGACAGGGAGGAGTGAGGGAGATTGGACGGAGGAGTAGGGAGAGGGGGATGAAGGCGGATGGAGAAGAGGAGGAACAGGCCGATGAGGAAGGAGGAAGAGGAGGGCGAGCAGAATGGCCAGAGGCCTCTTGGATGCCTCTCGGAGTCTCGTTGGATTCCTTTTGAGAGCTTCTTGGGGTCCTCTTGGGGCGTCTTGGGGGCTTCCTGGCAGTCCAGGCAGCCTCTTGAGGCGTCTTGGGTGCCTCTGGGAGCCTTTTGGGGATCTCTTGGGAGCCCCTTAGCTGCATCGTTGGGGTCTCTCTGGCACCTCCTGGGGCCGTCTTGGGGCACCTTGGGCACCTCCTGGGGCTCTCTTTCTCGGGGGCAATTTTGGAGGAGATCGATCAAAGGAGGGCCCGCAGTACAGTGGGACCCCCTCCAAGAGGCCCAGATGTGGCCAACACCATTGTCAAATTAATGATTTCGGCCTTCTCGCCGAGGCCTCGTTTGGCGTCTGGGGTGCCTCTGGGGGGCCTCTTAGCTCATCTTGGGGGTCACTTGGGAGCCTGCTGCGGGTGTCGCCAACCGTCGGTGATCGGCCCGACTGCACTTGTTTCCGAAATTTCTCTGGGGGTTCTACGAGAACTCACTGCATCCAGACGCCCTCCTGAGAGCCTTCGCTTAATCGAAACAGTATTCTCATCAAAGCAATAAATATTACAGCTTCCCCAAAGCATCGCGACCGCTTCGGTCCGATCGCAACCGATTGTGATCAGTCCGAAGTGGTCGACGGTTGGCCCAAAGTGGTTGCGATCAGCCACTGTCGTTGAATGGAGGAGGGACGGGACAAGCGGGAGAGAGAAGAGTGGAACGCGACGCGACAGAGATTCGCAGGAAGGAGACACGCAAGCGGCAGAACCAGTCGGGCGGGGCGGGTCGGGCGGGCGGGCCCAGAAGGTGGGGTCGAGCGGGCGGGTTGCTGAAGCGTCAGTCGCGCATGGATCGCGAGGAACTCTCGAGCGATAGCGTGATTCCCAAGTAACCGCGACTTGCAATTATCGCCCTCCTCCTCATTTCGGCGAAACTACATCACTTTCCGCCCCGGGAAGCCGGGAAGTGATGCCCCGCCCCCAGAGCCTTCAGTGAGGCATCCCACCAAGTTCACAATAGGATCCCAACCGGCCAGTAAGATTCCAATCGGGTTCCAATCGGATTCTTCCAGGATTCCCGAAGCTTCCCGAGGATTCCTGAAGATTCCTGAGATTCCTAGAGTTCCTGGGGATTCTTGAGGATTCCAGGAGGATCCCTGGAGGACCGTTGCGGCCCGATCCCCGTCCCATGAGCGCACGGGTCTCAGCATTTTGTATTTGATGCACGCCCGGGCCCGGACCCGGATCCAGAGTTGGATCCCGGCCAGGGGTCATGTAAATCTTGGGCGCCGCGTAATGGGGGGGTCATAAATGGGGGGGTGGCGAGTGTGGTCCGAAAAGGTACCCAAACGGTACCTAAACGAGCCCCCTGGGGCTCTGGAGGGGCCCGAAAGGGGCACGAAAGGGGACCTTTTCTGACCCCCCCATTTGTGACCCCCCCATTAAGCCACGCCCAAAGAGTTGGATCCCGGCCAGGGGTCATGTAAATCCGTGGCCCCAACCGCCGCCCCTGAGTTTGGGTCGGGCACGCCCTCCTCCAGGGGGACCTCGGACGAGAAGCAACAGACACTAAAACAACATTCCCAAATTGTCAAAAAAATATCAGAAGAGTCGTCCCCAGACTATTTGTCTCTATTTCTGACCGTTCCTGAGCTGATTATCTGATGTACGCACGGATCCGGACCTGGATCCGGATCTGGATCTGGATCCGTGATCCCAATCCCCACCACTGAGTGCACATGTTTCAGCTGTCTCTTCTGGTGTACAATGGAGGCCCATGCCAAGAAGCACCCTGCTTGCCTCCAGGGTGCCCTGGGTTTCTTGGCGTTTGATGGTTTTGCGATGGAGAGCGTGACGTTCCCACACAGAAAATCAATGGACGTCCTTGGGCCTCAGGGTTGGGTTTCTTGTGGAAGGTTTCTTATGGACTGGCCTCCACTGTATCCGAATCCGTAATCCCAATCCCCGCCCCTGAGTGCACAGGTTTCAGTTTTCTCTTCCGATTTACGCCCGGGTCTGGACCCGGCTCTAGATCTGGAGTCGGACTCCGAATGGGATTTGCAAATCCGTGATCTCAGTCCCTGCCCCTGAGTGCACAGGTCTCAGTTCATTCTTCTGCTGTG